ACACACACACACACACACACACACACCACACACACACACACACACCACACACGTGCCACACACACACACACACACACACACACACACACACACACACACACACTACGGCAGGTAACAGATATTTGTATCTTTTAAAACATACTTATGTATTTCTCTCAATGTTCGTTACAACAAATAAACAAATAATTCAAGACATTTTATTTACTTACCGTTCAGAATAAATGCAGGTTTTTTTTATGCATATTTTTTCTTATTTACTTTTCTGTATATGTTTGTCAAATGATAAAAATAAAAAAAAATTTACGTTTACATTTCAAATGTAAAAGGTTGTGTTTGAGTTTAAAAACAACAAACTGCAAGATCAATAGTTTTTTATTATTATGTCAACAAACACCTTTCTGCTGCAGCTTCTAAGGCCCCGTCCACACGGAGACGAAAACGAACTGAAGCCATTTTCAAAAAAGTCTTCCGTCCACACGAAAACGCTCGAAAACGCTGGAGACGCTGTAGCGCATATAAGCCTAAGTGGCGCTGTACTTCCACCACAAAATACACCAAAAGCAGCGAAGAAGACCCCCCGAGCATGGGCATAAGGCACAAACAAACAGCTGTAGATTTTGCACTGAAATCTGTATCCTGGTCCGTAGCGTCTGGAGCACGAATGCAACCCTGTGATCCGCCATTGTTGTTGTCGTTGGCAAAACACAGTAATGACGCGGGGGTGAGCAGCAGAGGTGGGGAGAGGCGGGGCTATGGCATCATCGTTATCAGGAAATGATCGTATAGGGCGTACACACGGAGCCGCAAGCGTGTCGTCTCCAGACCTACCCACTTTGGGAGCTGGTTTCAAAGTGTATCGGTTTCGGGCTCCGAATCCCCGGCTCCGTTTCGGCTTCGTGTGGACGAACCGTCTATACGATAGAGAACGTTAAAGAATAAAATACTTTAAGTCAAAATGCAAAATAAATCTCTTTGATCTTCAGTTTTCCAGTTAAAGTCTAAAGTGATCTTTCATAAAGGAATTAAACATGATTGTACAATTCACTAAAACAATTACATCTGTCTGAAAGCTTCAGTTAATGTGACCTTTAAATAAAAAGTTATAAAAATCATAAAAAACATAAAAAACACGATTTACTTAAATTCAGCTTGTTGTTATTATAATAAAAATATCTCATTAAGATCTTAATCAAGACTTCCTCTCTAAGTCTTTAACCTCAAACTTAACTGTAATTACTGGTTTCAAGCAAAACTAAAAGAAAGACTCATGAAGTTAAGACTTAAATTAATCTTTAATTTAAAATGTCATAATTACAAATTTAATATCATATAAAACATTTATATGATATTACTTCTCTCATAAATCTTACAAGTCATTTTGATTTTGTACAAAAAAAAAAGTAATTATCAAATGTCGTGTCAATTCTGGGGGGGGCAGCCATCTTTGAAGGATAGCCTCTATAGCATTAGCATCAATATATATCAGCGTTTCTCGCTCATCTGTCAGCGTTTTGCATCCAAAATAAATAAAGTATGTGTGAAATATAAACTCTGTTACAAAGAGAAGCTCTTGGCAGATACAGAGGAGCGTTATTTAAATAAAAAAAGCTTAATAAATGACATCTGTCCGTATGAGAGAAGATCGATCACTGTTTCTGATGTCCGTCCTCTCTTGTGTTTAAGTGTCTACGTCTATCGCTAATTTAAAAATATCTAAATATCTGGAGGACCGATCGACCGCTTTACAAACAGGACCTTCAGACCTACAGGTTGAGTGACTACAGAGTCATCTGGACAGACATAAGACAGCTAATGCTAAGCTAACTGAGTGCTAACAAAAGTTACAGGACCTTCAGACCTACAGGTTTAATGACTATAGAGTCATCTGGACAGACATAAGACAGCTAATGCTAAGCTAACTGAGTGCTAACAAAAGTTACAGGACCTTCAGATCTACAGGTTGAGTGACTACAGAGTCATCTGGACAGACATAAGACAGCTAATGCTAAGCTAACTGAGTGCTAACAAAAGTTACAGGACCTTCAGACCTACAGGTTGAGTGACTACAGAGTCATCTGGACAGACATAAGACAGCTAATGCTAAGCTAACTGAGTGCTAACAAAAGTTACAGGACCTTCAGATCTACAGGTTTAATGACATTAAACCTGTAGATCTGAAGGTCCTGTAACTTTTACAGGTGAGACAGCTAATGCTAAGCTAACTGGGTGCTAACAAAACGTAGGCATATCATGCATAATTCATCTCCCAGTACATATACTGACATATTTCCTGTTTTAAATCATATTCCCAGATGTTATGCTCCTGTAGTTCAACACAGCGTCTCTTACTGATGATTCTACCTCTCTGTTAGTTTAAAAGAGTCAAATGAAGTCCTTTTTTTTGTTTTGTTCGTTGTTCATAGGAGTTTCTTTTACAGCCAGTGGCATCACAGAGTCTAATTACCAAGTTTAAAAAGTTTAAAGTGAAAAGGTTCCTTTACAAAGGTTGCGTTTGCTTGTATCCTCCAAAGATGGCCGACTTGCTGTTGATGGCGTCGTATTCCCATTCCCTATTGTAACATGTGACCATTGTGAATAACGTCTTGAACGCTTTCCTCGTCAGCAGAAGATACTTTCCTGTTATTAAAATCAGACATTTGAATGTGATATGGATACAACAGACAATATAACACATCGGTTTCCTTTCTCACGTTTTAGTGCAACTCAAGTTTGAGGTATTATTGACGTATTAATCTCTTTCAAAAACACAGATGAGATTTAGGCACAAAAACAATCTGTTCTGAGAAGATTTTCATCAAACAGTTCGACACTCACAACCCTTTCTCGTCTTTAAATGATAAAGAAATTCAGTCATTTAATTAAACCTTTTGTAATAATATCCGTTTTCATAATAACGACCTCCATTTCACGAGCCACCATCTTGTATTTATAAAATCTATTTACAAGAAATATCTACAAATCTGGTAAATCATTCATTATTAAAGGGGACATATTCTGCTGATGTTCAGGTGTATATCAGTATGTAGTGTCTCTACTTTAAAGAGTCCTCTCCTGCTGATGTTCAGGTGTATATCAGTATGTAGTGTCTCTACTTTAAAGAGTCCTCTCCTGTTGATGTTCAGGTGTATATCAGTATGTAGTGTCTCTACTTTAAAGAGTCCTCTCCTGTTGATGTTCAGGTTTATATCAGTATGTAGTGTCTCTACTTTAAAGAGTCCTCTCCTGCTGATGTTCAGGTGTATATCAGTATGTAGTGTCTCTTCTTTAAAGAGTCCTCTCCAGCTGATGTTCAGGTGTATATCAGTATGTAGTGTCTCTACTTTAAAGAGTCCTCTCCTGCTGATGTTCAGGTGTATATCAGTATGTAGTGTCTCTACTTTAAAGAGTCCTCTCCTGCTGATGTTCAGGTGTGTATCAGTATGTAGTGTCTCTACTTTAAAGAGTCCTCTCCTGCTGATGTTCAGGTGTATATCAGTATGTAGTGTCTCTACTTTAAAGAGTCCTTTCCTGCTGATGTTCAGGTGTATATCAGTATGTAGTGTCTCTACTTTAAAGAGTCCTCTCCTGCTGATGTTCAGGTGTATATCAGTATGTAGTGTCTCTACTTTAAAGAGTCCTCTCCTGCTGATGTTCAGGTGTTTATCAGTATGTAGTGTCTCTACTTTAAAGAGTCCTCTCCTGCTGATGTTCAGGTGTATATCAGTATGTAGTGTCTCTTCTTTAAAGAGTCCTCTCCAGCTGATGTTCAGGTGTATATCAGTATGTAGTGTCTCTACTTTAAAGAGTCCTCTCCTGCTGATGTTCAGGTGTATATCAGTATGTAGTGTCTCTACTTTAAAGAGTCCTCTCCTGCTGATGTTCAGGTGTGTATCAGTATGTAGTGTCTCTACTTTAAAGAGTCCTCTCCTGCTGATGTTCAGGTGTATATCAGTATGTAGTGTCTCTACTTTAAAGAGTCCTTTCCTGCTGATGTTCAGGTGTATATCAGTATGTAGTGTCTCTACTTTAAAGAGTCCTCTCCTGCTGATGTTCAGGTGTATATCAGTATGTAGTGTCTCTACTTTAAAGAGTCCTCTCCTGCTGATGTTCAGGTGTATATCAGTATGTAGTGTCTCTGCTTTAAAGAGTCCTCTCCTGCTGATGTTCAGGTGTATATCAGTATGTAGTGTCTCTACTTTAAAGAGTCCTCTCCTGCTGATGTTCAGGTGTATATCAGTATGTAGTGTCTCTACTTTAAAGAGTCCTCTCCTGCTGATGTTCAGGTGTATATCAGTATGTAGTGTCTCTTCTTTATAGAGACTCTACAGCTCTGCTGTGATTGGTCAACAGCTTAGAGATGCCCCGCCCCTTATCACGTACAATGTGTTGAAGCGCTAGCCAATAGGAGCGCAAGTGTTCCATAGTGATGTCACAAAAACCTACAGCACTTACAACAGGAAAGGGAAAACACCCAAAAGCAGAATAGGGCCCCTTTTTAAAATAAATTATGGGTGCTAAGATTTCTCACAAGAGATTATTTTTCTTCAGGAAGGTGATGCATTTCATATTATTCACAAACTCTAACCAATGATAGAAAAGTTTCCGCAACTTTAATTACGATTACGAACACGATAAAAAAACTCTTCATTATAACTTTTATAGAACTAGAACTATCACTTAGATATATGCGTACAAATCTGTCCTAACTTTATGACTTTCTCTTAATCATTATGATAAAGTATGTGTCTTCAGTATGTGTCCTCAGTATGTATGTGTCTTCAGTATATGTGTGTGTCCTCAGTATGTATGTGTCTTCAGTATATGTGTGTGTCCTCAGTATGTATGTGTCCTCAGTATATGTGTGTGTCCTCAGTATGTATGTGTCCTCAGTATATGTGTGTGTCCTCAGTATGTATGTGTCCTCAGTATATGTGTGTGTCCTCAGTATGTATGGGTCCTCAGTATGTGTGTGTGTCCTCAGTATGTATGTGTCCTCAGTA